AACATGCTGAACTGTCGTGCAACTCTGTATCGGTCCCTTGGCTTCCTGGTCCGCCGACTATAGTACATCAAAAGGCACGGTAACTCTACACAGCCCTTTATGGAGACAAAGGAAAATCAGTACAACTGTATTTATAGGGTAGTCACAGTGTTCCACAAGGTCGTGCCAGAATCTCCTTGAGGGGGCGAGAAGCGTCGAGTCAAAGGTGCTTGACTCGGATTGGCTGGCATTCTGACCAATCAGGGCATGCCTTCGTCTGGCCCGTGTCCTCCACGTGACACATCCGTCCAAATGATGTGATGTTCGGTTATTAGGGACGACTGGCCCCCGAGCACAGTCTTTTTGTAGCTGGATCATTTGTCCCCAACAACTAGGCTAAGACAGGTTCGCGCAACTTTACTCAGCGGCCTCGTAGGTCATCCTAATTTGTGCATATATTGTGGAACCATTCACACTGTTAGCCAATTTGAGTCATCCTTGGTGTAACAAAAAACGGATTCAAAATAACTTGTTCGCAAATTATTGACTTCTATCTGGTCGCCTCGAAGGCCATCAACTATTGCATCACCGATGTCTTCACAGCATAGCAGGAGTTAGTTGATTGTAACCTGCGATGAGTTGGAATAGCGGGAGGCTCGCTGAACTAGGACGACGCCGAACGAAAGGGGCTGCACTTAAACTGAGCGCTGGAGTGCTGAGGTTTGTGTTCACATGATGCTCCGTACGCAATTTTTTGCGTTTCGCTAGATATAGCTCGTAACCGGTCCCAATAGCAGATATATTGGGATTCCTAAGTCATATTGTCTGGTCGAACCATGTCTTCTGTTGTATGCTAGATCTTGTTTTTGTGGGGTTTCGGAAGACATGCTGGTTCGACCCAGCAGGTTTTTTATTCAGTGTTTTTCGTTGTTCTAGGTACCTTGAAGTCTTTTGACCGTTTTGATGACTTATTTTGCCAAAATGACAAGGATAGCGACTTTTTGGGGCGAGATGGCCCAAATGGTTAGACCGCGAATTTACTGATCGGAATGAACCCGACCTCTACCTTTCGACTTCCCCTGTCTAGGCCTGGGCAACCTGGCAGTATCCCAGCCCTCGTGCTTCCTTCTTGTGGCAGGGCAGTTAGGCACCGACGGGGGCTACAGCTGAACGGTTCTAGCTCACAATCGGCTCATTTTACTGACAACCCAGAGGTCCGTCCGCATGGTTTGACCTCATAGTCGACAGTGTAGTCTCTTTGCAACCAAGCCAGATTTGGTCAGGTGTGGTTTTCTTGCATCACTGGTATTTGGAATCTCTTGGACGGCAGTATCGAGTGATGTGACAGCTATGCACTTGCTGTTCAGAGTTTGTTCACGTGTTAGCTCGAAGATCTAGTTCACAGTCATCTGTATCTTCTAAAGGGAGTTACTAGTCGGTACAGATGCCATCGAGCAAAACCTGGCGAGTTTCTATTGCGGAAAGTCTTTGGAATCGGGGTATTCCGATCGATGTGTGGAACGAGTCGTCCTCTGTGGACGAGACTAATCTACACATGCTGTACAGTTTTTGTATCGGCTTGCACGTGCAAAGTACTATTATTATCACTTATTTTTGAAGAGCATGGTCACAAACATAAAAAGTGAATGCAGGCGACGAATGCGAAAGGGTAACAGGAGAATATGGGAGAACAGAGAAAAACCTCTTACTCGAATTCATGCCACCAACAGTTTCAGTCAGATGAGATGCATCTCAGCGTATGTAAAAAAATTGGTATGGAAACACGCGTGTAAAGATCAACAACCGAAGAAAGGACAAATAATGTTGAATGCTCTTCAAGGTGCGGTAAGCGCTAGCACAGTCAAGACTCGCACATCAGGCACAAGGTTTCCGTCATACTACTACTAATTATCATTTATTTTTGAAGAGCATGGTCACAAACATAAAAAGTGAATGCAGGCGACGAATGCAAAGTTTGAATGTAATCTAACTTGAGCTTTACTCTTGCAAATGGATTCCGTTGACAAACTCGTCCATATGGGATTCTTACGAAACATGAATTAGTTTCACGAGAGATCCGAGCATCAATACTGGCCTGACATTAGTTTGTCTTCCACGGACGTAGTACACGATGTGGACTGTAAACTTGGTTACGTCGTAGTGACACCGTCTGGAGCATTTCTATGGCTTGGATATCATCACAGAAGTGAGGAACCGGTAGTGGGTTGTGAGTAATACTGAGAAAAACAGTTACAATATAGAGTTGTAGTTTTTTTCCTAACCTACTATTAGCAGCTTGCGTCACCCATTATGAGCTATCGATTGAAAAAAGCCTGAAACATGTCCCTGCTCAAACTACTGAGCGATTCTCCCAACGCATTGACATTTCGACCAGAACTGACTGTTTTATCACCTGGAGGTTTTCCTATCAAGACGGAGTTTTCTCCTGGTGACCTGAACCATACACAGTCAGGGTGAGAACCGAGTGAGAGGGTTGTCGCACCCCCCTCGTGACTTTTGCCTATCGTTCATTTTATTCATTTAGTCGAGTGGCGTAGAGACTTGACTTCAAAATGGCCCAAACCGTGAGGTAGACAGTGTATGACTTGGTAGAAAGAGATCACCAAGAGTTTGGGTGTTGTTGGTGTTTTACGCCTTCCAGAACGGGGTCCCCGTGATCCCACCTGTGCTTGGCTATATATATGGTCGATCTTTCATAAAGGTTCAGCATGAACCGTCATTTGTGCATATTTTCTTACCTAAAAAAGAGCTACAGACTCACTGAAATGTTTTCAATCATTTAGCTCAGACAGGCCGTTACCTCTGGCAATATTTTTCTACCGAATAATCTCGAAAAATCACAGTAGAAAACCCCCGAGGGGCAGTTTTCCTACTCTGACAATCATCATAAGATCAGGGTCTGCGCTGGAAAGTTGGTTCAATAATACCGACTTGTGTCAGATAGAGATGAGCAGTTTTCATACTAGTTTGCACATGTCAAAAGACCGAATCCATCGCCGCCGTTCCGATTACCCCGGTCCAGGCTTGAGCAGCATCACAGCCAGTGTGCCTTTTTCTAGCTTAGTATCTGTTGAATTTCGGAGGGATGCTACAACAGAATGGTGCTATTTGAGGGGTTCATCTATCAGTGTGGACCACAGCTTTTTTAGCGCCTCCTTAGTACCGTAAACCCGAGTCTGGATAGCCGCTTGATTGCCTGATACAATTAGCCAAACCAGAAAACCAATGAACGTGCGAGTCAGCTGATCTGTTGAACACTGACGCGTACAGGCGTTTCATGTGCAGCCGAAAACGGGCTGTTTGTCGAGCTCACGTGGAAAGTTCTAGGCGGGCCAAAATGTAATGCTTAAAATAGAACTCATCTGTCAAGGGCAAGTGAAAAACGACCAACTGAATCTGTCCCAACGGAAACGGTTATTCCATTGGCAGTTGTGCGGTCCAGTTACTTTCGGAGCTAGTTCTCCTAATACTACCCTGTTTGATTGTGCCGAACTTCACTCGGTACCGAATCTCAATCTTCTGAATAGACCTCTGCAAAGAAATCTTCTGGATAGACTTTTTCACGGTATCTACCAAAATTGGCCACATCCGGGAAGGACTGGCTTTAAAATATGATGCAAAAGTCCTTTGAATTTGTGAGTCTTCTCATTAAGGAATGCTCACGAGACTAAACCATAGTGCTCTTAGTTGAGAAGAATTTCTTCGAGGCTAGTTCCACTGGTCATCTTTTCAGTTTTTGGGCACATCACTGAAAGTGTCGTACGACAGATCACATTGACAGGTCATTCAGCTGTAACACCCTTTGTTTGCCTTGCTGTCATTCTATCCGAACTATACACTATGGCTGATATACTGTTAGGTTGCCCAAACTTAGACAGAGTTGCGTTCGAACCATGGTCCTTCCAGTCAGTAATTTCGCCCTTAGCCACTGAGATTTCTCGAGCTCACACTGACAGATAATCGTAAGACATCGAAAAATTTGAGCTTCTGTTTCAACCTTGATCGTGTGTAACTTGTCGACCTGTTCGGTCGTCTCATTTATCAGCCTGACAAGCTTTCAGCAGATGATTTAGCCTCTTTCAAGTTCCGTGTCCAAAGCAATGTAGTTCCAAAAGCGTTTGACCTGGTTCCAGCTAATTTATCAAGTCCCGTTTCGGGGATCACACTGGATTGGCAACAGTATGATAGAATCGTCGCTTCCACACTGTGAACATACCATCTTATTAGTTTTTCGATTCGTGAATAGACTGCGCGCCTCTCTGGGGCTCTTTGTCTGCACAGACGTTGTAGGTGACGTTTATCCTGTTTCGCGGGTCATCGACCGTAGGTCTGGATGAGTCTGCTGCCTACACCTGAGCATCTAGGTGCAAATTCCAACTTGGGGAGGATCAAATCTGGCATGGCACGGTGAACCACACAAAATTTCTAGACTTAGTTCTAACTTGGACTTTCGTATACAGTGCTATTATCTCATGGTGTCTTCTCATCCTTTTAGTGATCGCTTACAAAAATCCCTTTTCTCCGGAGTTAACCGTTCTTGGTTACTTTCTTTTAAGATGTGCGCAGGACTTGGAAAGTCATGGGCGTGCTACTAGAAAACCTAGTTTACCTAGGTAAGGAGTAAATCAACGTCACAGAGCCACATATAAGATAGTCGTTCAGCTATAACACCCTTTTGGCGCCTAGCTGCCATGCAACCCGAAGGATGCACAAAGGCTAGGATACTGCCAGGTTGCCCAAGCCTAGACAGGGGAGTCGAGAGGCAGACGTCGGGTTCGAACCACTGACTTTTCGGTCAGTTATTTCGCGCTCTAAACACTGAGCCACAGACCCACGGAAGTAGTCTCTTAGTCGTGTTCGAGAAGTGTCCGATGCTCACGACCTTTCATGAAGCTCGATCGCACTTCTCACTGTCGAACTCCGCTATTGGTACTCTGACGATAGTCTCGGTTCTTCGGAGCTTGTCATCTTTCACCCTACTATGGTTCCTTACCTTTCAGACTTTTGCCTGGCAAGCCCCCCGGACATTTTAGTTGGTGTGTTGCTACCACAATTACGAGAACACTTGGTTGTGGAACGTGAGGAACCCGTTCGTGCCGAACTTGTCCGATGTGCGGTTTCTCTGTTGCCGTCCATCAGCCGTGAGGATTCCATCCCACTGGTCCAACATATTCTTGCATTTCTCAACGACACTAGTTCACAGGTGGGTTATCAAGATAGAAATAGGGATTAAGTGGACCCATTCCGTTTTATTTATCTGCTAAACATGTTGTATTCGAAGAAGTGACCACCCTCAAGAAATATGAGTTTCGAGCCACTTTAATTCATACGTGATTGCCGATACCATTGGCTCTTTCAAATCGGACATGTATATGGTTACCATAGGACCCTTGGCAGGCTCTTGGCCTAGTTTGATGCCAGCCGAAACCCCGACTTGACTTGTGTTCCTCTCTGTAAGCAGCTCCGCTCATTGTTTCGTGCTACTCAGTAGAATGCCGACCGCTGATTTGTGGCTAGCTGGTCACATGACACCAGGATTCTGTATGTAATTTACTGCTTGTCAAGGTCAGTTGATCTGCGCCACAATCATGGCACTGCCTTGTTTCATTTTATCTGGAGTTAGTGGTGAACCAACGGGATTTGGATGAAGTAAGGTACCTAAACCGAGGCCAAGTGACGTCCCGAGGAACGTGGCGATACTTTGACCTTTGTAGTCAGTCCGATGTGTTTTTTGTCGCATTTTCACCATTCACTAGGCGCTGTTAGACCGCCAGTGGCATACAACAAGTGGAACTTATGAACGTTAACTCCGCATCCCCAAATGATGGGTATTTTTTGTGCTGGGTCTCATTCTAGCAGTAATCTTTACAAAATAGCAACAAATGACTTTCTGGAAGAATGAACACTCCCGAAATTCGGTCACAAGTCCACTTTCCCTTTATGCACACACTCCGGGAATACTCTGTTCAACATCTTGCTTGTTGATAGAATCTTGTATTTCGGAATTGTGCCACACCCTTTGTCATCATCCAGTCAGATTAGTTGATGTGTTTGTCGCCACATCTTCTGTTTTATACACCACAATTCCGGCTTGTTCGTGCTGGAGGCTTGAAACCTGAATAACGGACTAACGTTTTATGGATACCAGGACCCTTTTTTTTGGTTTTACGGCTTTTGGGGCGTTCCATCTTTTGACAGTTTTTCACTAACTTTTTCACACACGTAACCTTGAATAACCCGCCGACATTGTCGACACAGGTTATTCATGACGGTAACAACCAGAAAGAGCCGATATGATGTTAGACAATGCCAGTTTTACGTCGGACATCCCCTTTTGTGGGACTGTGTAGACCGGTGGAATTAGCGTAAACTGTTCGCCTCATGTGACCGGGATCTGATCGAATTGGACGTCTTATGACCCTCCACAGATTAGTCCTCGGGCGACTTGCTCCTCCAAAGTGTTTCTGTTCACAGGGGACCGATTCGACCATCATCTAAGAGATTGATGAATTACTTTTCTTTATCTAAGCCGTCCCCCCTCTTCTGTACTCCGGTAGAATTTTACCGTAATTTTCTGTTGGGGCCATTATTCCTATTTGTGTGAAAACCAAATACCGAACGTTTATCGATTTCAGTGTGATACCCGGACACCATCCAAAATCAAACTCATCAGCTTATTCTCAACTCATGCGTGTACACTTTTTAGGATGCTTTTTTCTTCGCTGGACGCAAATTATTTGTTCACCGTTGTTCATAACAGACACATTAGCGGTTCTGCCGATGACATAATGTTGTTTACTCCGTTTCACCACTTCATTTGCATCACGTTTTTTCCATTCGCTCGGAAATGCGGTTTTCCAGCCTATGGTCGATCGATTTCGAACATCGTTTTAGTCCATCTGTTGGCAGCCGGTCGATGACCGGAAGCATCCGGCGACTACTCTGTCCTCTGAGTTGTTGTCACACACCATGCCATCTGCCATTGTTGTGTGACTGATGTCCTGGATGGTCAGAGATCACACACACCAGCTGTACAATACGATAATCAGTTATACGAACAGTATCCATACAAAGTCGTGTTTTTGGGGTGTGCTTTATTCAGAGGGTGGAACATTTGGAGGTTCTTACTTACTTCGACATCTAGCTAATCGATCAGCGGATGAGTTTGGTTGAAGAATGGTTGGAAAATGGCCATGTTTACCATCTGCTGACAGTTTCGCACGACAACAACCTCTACGGTCTCCGTGGGACCTTAGGTACCCCTTCACAACGCACATAACTTTGTGCCGCTCTGTCGTGTACATATTCTGCCCACAGGAATAAATTCGTTATTCTTTCTTTATGACAGTCGTATGTTTGGGGAATTATTCATCGCTAGTTGTTGTTTCAAGGGGAGATGGCCCCAAGTGGTTAAAGCGCGAATTTACGACCGGAAGGGGTCAGTGGTTCGAATTCGACCTCTGCCTCTCGACTCCCCTGTCTAGGCTTAAGTAACCTGGCAGTATCTTAGCCCTCGTGCAACCTTCGGGTGGCATGGCAGTTAGGCACCGAAATGGTGCTACAACTGAACGAGGTGACAGATGGACTATTGAAGAAACTTCACGAAATAATTGGACCTTACCGTAGTTTGACGGTTTGTGTGCCTATGTGACCCACTGAGCTATACTGGGCAGTGCGCATGCGTAACTCACAGACTCTCTCACGCTAGGATGGTCAATGGTTAGAGGCCTGACCAATACAGTCTTCCTGGGGATTGGAACATGTGTGGCGACTTGTTCCATAAAATACCACTCACTGTCTTGCAGTCAGGCTTTTGAGTCAAGGGTTTTGGTCGAGGACCCCAATCGTTCTTTCGTCCATATGTGGGCGCCCTGACAGTATCCCACCCCTCGTGCAGCTTACGGCAGTGAAGCATCCAGTGTCAACACTGATGACAACATTATTTTGCTTTTGGTCGACTTAAAAAATTCCTTTTTTCCTCAAACAGCTGTTAGTTCCTGGTTCAATATTGTCTCCACTCTTCACTTGAGTCGCCATTTATCCTTATATGAATACATACATACAGTTGGCCCATACAGTGCCAACTAAGGACGTGAGTAAGTTCGCCACCAATTCAAAATTAATTGCTACACCAGGGCTTGAGGTAAAACTGTAGTTTTCAAAACTTCCAGAGGTAGCTGTAGGATGGATGCGATTAGTTGTCAACATTAGGGTCTAACAATTTTGGACAGTGATGTATTGTTCGTAATATTAAACCGTGGTCGAACTGTGTACAAAATCTATTGGAGTTCTAAGCGGTAGGATCTCTAGATCTACACGAGCTCCGTCTACTCGACGCGAACGACAATGTGAAAACGCTAGGCCAGATGGGACTCCGAATCTCTGAACCAGTCGAATAGTTCACCCGTAATCCGTAACGATCGTGTATACATGATCCACTGACATTGTTTACGGCACACGTACGGTTTGGACAAAAGGGAATTGCCCAATTTATTAAATTTCCCCATTCTGTCGATCGACTAACTCTTCTGTCGGAACTTATCGGTCAGGGACCTGCTAGACACATTTCTGTGAAAGGAAGAAGGCCTTCGCTGCGGTGTTGTTTATTAGAAAATGCCAACTGACAGAAGCAAAACTCTCATTTGCATCCTATTTACAAAGAGTGGACATTTATCTTCTCCTGAATGCGTCTTCTTAAACTTTCCTGGATATTGATTGACTCCAATCATTCATTGCTCAAATCCAAGCAAATGTTACAAAGCGGCTCCACAAATCCCGCAACAGATCTCCCCTTTTCAAGAGACGCAAAGCGAAATTTCAAGAACAACACATACTACTCGCATGCCTCTCCGTCAGTAGTATCACCGTTACAGTAGTTGATTGAAGGACGACCACGAGGTGAACACATATCGAGCATTTCAGCAACCTTATATCTACTACGTTCAGCCGAGAAAAGGTACCACGGTATCTTCACTATCGTTGGGTTTAGTTTATTTTTTCAGCTCTAAACGATGTGCCATGTGTACGTTAGTTCTCGATATTACCGTTCCAGTCGTTGGAAAGTGAGAGAGCGTGGGTGATATAAGCAGGCATAGAAGGCGATGGCATAGTCAGTTAGTTCGGTGAACACAATGAAGGTGATGGCATGACAGCGTGATTCAGTCTGTCACTAACCGTTGACGAGTGGAGTCCCCATTCAGGGTGTCAGTCTGACTGAATTTATGCCTGGCGTTTTGACACTTCGTTGCCAGGTCGTAGACTGTCTACCTCTCCGTCGCTCCCAACAAACACAGGGCTAGGCAAAAAACTGCTCCGTGGGGTATAGGGTCCTCTGATATGCACAGTACATGTCCTAACCAGCTTAACCTACGAAGCGTTGTGTAGCTCATTCACCGCAGAAGAATTGCTTTTTTTCAGCAGTGCCAAGCTCGATTTCCCACCGCGCCTTGCCAATACTTCGGACAACTGCTTTTGTACATCCTTCGCACATAGAGGCCACGTTTCTGGTCCATAAAGCAGTATGAATTGCACTGCTGCACTCTGTGCCCTCCCTAATGTTACGCCAGTGTCATAGTTGTCGGCTATCGGCGGTTGTGTAGTCCAGTGACGTTCGGAGCTGGTTCTCCCACCAGGTTCATAAGTGAATTTTTTAAAAATGCGTTTTAGTCAATGGATAGAGACTCTTCAGCTATCATATGTGAATCCAATGACGCTCAGAGCTGTCGTCATTTGCCTGAAGTGAGATAAACCTTTTGGCATAACCCCCAGAAGAAATTCGAGTAACTCTTCCTTCATTTTTCCAATAAATATCCACCAAGTGGCTTTGCTTTTGGTGGTGAAATGAGGAGCTGTTAAAGTTTCACTCTAGTCAAGTCAGTTAATGTTGTAAAGCCGAAAAGCACTGTTGTAATGCAACCGTTTCATCCTCATTGGCAATCGTTGGACCTACGGATCGCATAGATCTTGAGGGAGATTCGAGCGCTCCGCCGCCAGCGCCGTGCAGTTAGCTCCTTCAGTCACACAATTCGCATCACTTGTTGCCTGGCTCCTCGGCTGGCAGCTTTTTTATGTTTTCTTATATCAGTAGTGTTTCGATAATTATAGGTAGATATCTTGTAATCTTCCTACCCCTATTTTGCAGGAACCATAATTTGTACTTTTTGTGTGAAATATTCGAATGTAGAGGTAGGTAGATGGAGACAGTCTTAGGATTACTTCACACTGGGTTTTTCTATGCCCTACAAGCGACTTCAACACCTATCCAACAGTTTCCAGTTTCCACATGAACTTCAGTGAACTTATTATAGACGGGATACCCTGTATCGAATTGGGCTACAGGCAGTTCGGTATGAACCTTCCGTAAATCATCTTTTCCCTGTGATTACAAGGTTGTTTACTCCCCATTTATTGCGACTTCTAGGGCTTTGAAGTTTGCAAATTTCCTCGTTTAAGGAAAGCCGAGATTCATGGAATCACACTCAGGTGTGGTAGGACGCTCTGTGCTTGAAAATCTCACCGAGAAGAGGCATTTATGTTAAAAGGCCCAGACACGAAATTCAAGTTCTAGTAAATTCTGTGACATCAGAGCACCGAAGGGATGAACTACCAGCTTCTCGCGACGGTTTTTGCGTAGCCAGGTGATCGTACTAGAGAACTCACTGAATGGGAGGCACTGTATTCAAATACTTCATGGGTATTTGTGGAATTCTTAGCGGAGAGTGTGTGATGAAAATGCATTTCTATTAGACGTGTTCAATGCCCCAATCTATCCGTACCGTGATACTACTTATTCTCCACTAGTAGTGACCCTTTCCATCTGTTTCATTCTTTCCCCACAGTCCAAGCAATATGTGTTCGAACACTTCTCCGATTTGATCACGTTAATTCCGGCCACAGATGTCCAGTTGACGTTGCTGCCTAGTCTTGTACGTTTATGGCAGGATCGTAATTGGCGAGTTCGTCTTGGCGTGGTTCAGTCTGTGCCCTGTCTCTACCAGAGCCTGGTGAGTCGAGTTTTTGGGATCCAGTGATTTAGCTGTCGCAATCCGTACACAGCTGATCCAACCACCGTTTTTTATGCAGGTTGCTAATGTTGCTGAACTGGATTATTATTTCCGAATACTAGGACATTTGGGGCGCTGTGGTGTCTGTTTATTTTAACTATCAGTTTTCACTACTATTACTGGTAGTGAGTAGTAACGGATGGACTGCCAGCTGCTGTCAGTTTTTCCGTTCGGTCCTGATTCGTTCATTCTGCCTCCCGAAAGGGACTGAATTCATAAGGAGGCACATGAGCTGAGTCGCAAACCCCTAATTCCCTTCAGTCTGGAAACATACCCCTCTTTCTGTTACCGGTTTTTTAATCAATATTTGGGTAAATGACCATTCGCGTAGCCACACATTGAAAGTTGGTCGCTGTTTGCAAATCAATTTGACTTTAAAAGGAGATTCAAATGAATTCTAGCTGAGCTCCCGGTTCAGTTTGTAAATGAGTGCATTTCGCGGATGGTATGCAGTCTGGGTTCCAGTAGTACATAAGGTTGAGTGAAACTCGGTGACTGCGCCTACCAGTTGAGACTGAACACGGGCGAAACTGGTCGTGGGCTGTCGCAGAGTTTCAAGCAACTCATGAACAGCCAGTAGTACATAAGGTTGAGTGAAACTCGGTGACTGCGCCTACCAGTTGAGACTGAACACGGGCGAAACTGGTCGTGGGCTGTCGAAGAGTTTCAAGCAACCTCATGAACAGCGTCCAACCCTCGGCCACAAGTTCTTTAATATGTTTGTATTGCTTTTACTCACTCCATATTCCTCTAGCCTGAGGCCTGCGTACGTGACACAGTGTTACCAGCCAACCTGGCCTGGCTACGTGACCCATCGTGGTATGTGCGCGAGTGTGCATGTCGCAGTTTGGCCCGCCTACTCCGAGTATTCCCCGGGCTCTGTAAGGAAGTCCTGAACGGCGTGGGACAGAAAGCCGCAGCAGCGGCAGCAGCTGCCACACAGTCCTCGGCGACTCCATCGGTAGCTCCAGCTTCATCCGGTGGCGGGACCACGCCAGGGTCTGCTCCAGGAGCCACCAATACTTCACCTTCTGCGGTCAATACAAATGCGAGTTCACCGAGCACCAATAACAGCCAAGCGGCTAACACGAACACAGAGGCAGCAAACGCCGGATTGTCCAGTTCGTCGTTCTCCAACTCTCCCGGAAATACGACCGCACTGAGCTCCATTAATGCCATCACAGCTCAAGCAGCTGCCGGTGGACTGAAGGCCTTGGCCACAGATACCAACTATCATCTGAGGCAGGTCTATATTACGGCCATTCAGGTCAGTTTCATTTTTTGTCCCAATTCTTGACCGTTTCTGTTTTTTTTCCAGCCCCTTTTTATTGATAGTTGTCTGTCGTGGTAGTCAATATTACAATGTGTTTCACTGTCGCAGCACAATCATTTGTCACCTACATAGAGCTCACTCAATATTGTGTACTAATAACAGTGATATTTCGCATAGCTTATCGCCAGCGAGCTTCCTAATATGACCGATCCACTCTTTCGCTCCCGACAGACAATCTGGGGGCCGGGTATCCCCGACGAACCAGCCTACAGTGCTACCGGGGATAATCCGGATATGGGTATTTGTCTTCCGGGTATGCAAAACGCCTATCTGGCTGTCACTGGTAAGAACAACTCCACATCTGCTGTTCCTGCCTGCTGCCAGCCTCCCCCTAGTCTACCAGCGGTGCACCTGTCCACATGTGCGTCCCAACTGCTTCGCCTAGCCTCTGAGGATGTGGTTGCGAATGTCCGGATATGCGCTGCACAAGCCTTGCAGTTGATCTCTGGTGCTCTGGATAAAAAGTAAGTCTTTTTGTAATGACTCCTGTGACAAGAAAGCCGTCCCTGAATGTAGGGACCAAGGCATATTTTCCTCTTCCACTCTTGGCTTCTTCTCCCCAGCACTGAACGTGGAATTTGCATCAGCATCTCAGGAAAAGCGGTTGATATTCACCAGTCCAATCTTTCGACCTATTCTTTTTATTTCGCCATTGTTTAATGCAACCATATCCTCAACTACCAGTATTTGGTTGCCATCTATAGAGCTTTCCTTGTTTGTCATGCCAGGTGCTTTCCTTCGTATCCGTCCGTCTGAATTATTTCACTTTCTACACAGATTCATTCAAAAAGAGGTGGTCCCAACTCTCCGAAAGGTAGCCGAGAACGATGCTGACTTGGACGTGCGCTATTATGCTCAGGAAAGCTTGCTTCGTAAGTGCCTCAGTCTGATAATCAACGTTGGTCTATCTGGGCTACTTTCTTGTCCATTGCCTACTCTCTAACTTCATCTAGGCCGAGTACACATGTGATGGAACGAATGCCACTGTCCGCAGACCATTGGGTGTGTCGTTCTAAAGAACTCACACTACGGAGATGGTTGATGCAACAGTAACGCCCGTTCGCTGCGAATTTGTTTACTAGCAAACACGGACTAAGCGGTTACAAGCCATTAGACACGAAGGTAAATATCTCATCTGCACAGAGTTTATGAAAATTGAGCATTCCCATACGTCCGATCGGACTTCCCTAGACGTTCTTTGAATGTTAAACAATACTGAACGAACACTGCAAAGCGGTTCCATAATTTCCCTCACCTTCCGTCAGATACGGGGCTGCAGTTTGGAGACCAGACCAAACACTACTCGTCCGCTTCCCCCCGTGGTATACACCGTTGCAAGATGACTGGCAAGAACAGCACGATCCATTCAAATAATCTGTGCTATGAAGAGGGATGAACGACCCTACACCAAGAGCAAAAATATAGAGGGGAATTTATGGGTTTCTGATGAGAAATAATAGATAACTGTTCAACAACTCTTCCATTTAGCATTCCGAAAGTAGACAATGTTAAATCACTCTAGTGTGAGATAAACCGAAGTCCGCAGTTGGCTGTCGGTAAATTCTGATTGATGTTCCCATTCTACAGTGCTCCTTCTGTCTGACAATTTTCTCTAATATGCCCTCTGTCACACTTTATGTTCCTGCTAGATAAAACCACGTTGCTAACAAAACCGACCACTTACGTGTCGAAGACTTGGTACGATAGTCTTTTCTGGATAACACATTCAGCTGAAAGCTAGTTGGACTGTCATCTGGAGGGGGGCGGGATGACATAATCAAACATAGCTTCCGGCGAATGCCGTTGTGTGGAGAGTAGGCCTTATCTGGAAAACCCTGTTTTATCGATTCTCATAGTGGCCAGCCCAGTATGCCAGTGAGTAACTTATTCACCGACAAGGTCTGGATAGGTTATTCCGGATTTATCGATTGATATCCGCTGGCTGATGCTTCTCTAGCAGAGCGGTCTAATTACTCTTGAAAGTTGAACTATTCCACTGATGATCCCCTTAACTGGACATCTGTCATATGTGGTCGAATTTGTTTGTTTTTTAAGATTTGTTTGCCGTATGGTGTACTAGTTTCGACTGTTAAAAGCTACATATCAGTGTTTTCGAGAAATACACACATTTGCAAATCGATTTGG